CTCAGTCATCCCCATCTAATACTTCTAATCTTCTTTTCCCACATCCTGAATCTATCTTTGACTTTGATGATAATTCTCTTTCATCTCACAACACCCATACTGATTCCCCAGTTATTCATTCACCAACTCAAAATACTCCATCCTCTCCTGTTCAACCTACAACAACTCATATTCCCACATCACATACTCAACATACATGTTCTCAACCCCCAGATAACTCTCCAGTTTCAAATTCCCCTCAACAAAGAAGAAGATCATCCAGAATACATAAAATCCCAGCCTATTTGGACATTTATAAACATTCCTTGAATCATCATTCTGCTTCATGTTCCTCAAACACACTTCTTAACATTCCTGGAACATCACCTTACTCAATTTCTGATTATTTGTCCACTGATATGTTATCTTCTTCTCATAGCTGTTTTACTGCATCCATAAGTACTATTTCTGAACCAAGCACATATAAACAAGTTGCAAAAGACCCTTTGTGGGTTGAAGCTATGAATAAAGAACTAAATGCCCTAGAACAAACAAAAACATGGATTTTAACTGATTTACCAAAGGGCAAACATTGTATTGGTTGCAAATGGGTTTTCAAAATCAAATATAAATCTGATGGCACTATAGAAAGGTATAAAGCCAGATTAGTTGCCAAAGGTTATACTCAAGAAGAAGGAATTGACTATTTTGACACTTTTTCTCCAGTTGCAAAAATTTCTACTGTTAGATTTCTTGTTGCACTTGCATCCATCAAGAAATGACATGTTCATCAACTAGATGCAAATAATGCATTCCTTCATGGTGACTTAAATGAGGAGGTGTACATGACACCTCCACCTGGTTATTGCTCAGCTTCTTCTTCTCAAGTATGTAAATTAACTAAGAGTTTGTATGGATTAAAACAAGCATCTAGACAATGGTTTCAAAAGTTAACCTCCTGCCTTCTTGCTTATGGTTTTACTCAATCAATTGCAGATTGTTCTTTGTTTTACATGCATAATTCTAGTTCTGTCACTATTCTCTTAGTTTATGTGGATGACATAATTTTGACTGGTAATGATATCTGTCAGTTAAATGCCATTAAATCTCATCTGGATACATGTTTTACAATCAAAGACTTGGGTCAACTCAAGTACATTTTAGGCTTAGAGTTTGCTCACTCTGAAAAAGGGATACATATGTGTCAAAGAAAGTATGCTCTAGATATAATTACTGACACTGGTTTATTGGGCTGTAAGCCAGCAAATACTCCCATGGATTCTTCAGTTAAATTAAGCAAACATGATAATTCTCCTTTGCTTGATAATCCTTCTGAATACAGAAGACTTGTAGGCAGGCTACTTTATTTGACCATCAGTAGACCTGACATTGCATTTTCAGTTCAATCATTAAGTCAATTTTTATCCAGTCCATCACAATATCATCTTCAAGCTGCTTACAAAGTGCTCAGGTATGTCAAAGGAACACTTGGCCAAGGTATTCTCTTTCCCAGATCATCTACTTTACAATTATCTGCTTACTCTTATAGTGATTGGGCCTCTTGCATTGATACAAGAAGAAGTGTTACTGGTTTTTTGATATTTCTTGGTAACTCTTTAATTTCATGGAAAAGTAAGAAACAACCTACTATAAGTAGGTCCTCAGCAGAAGCTGAGTATAGGGCCCTTGCCCTCACAGCTTGTGAAATTCAATGGTTAATATCTCTATGTTCTGAAATTGGTATTCCACTTACTACACCTGCTTCTCTGTTCACAGATAGCAAATCAGCACTAGCTATGGCTTCCAACCCTGTGTTCCATGAGAGGACTAAACACATAGAGCTGGACTGCCATTTAATAAGAGAGAAGATAGGCCAGGGACTCATCCATCTGTCTCACATCCCCACCAAAGCCCAACTCGCAGATTTTCTCACCAAACCACTCCCTGGACCTGCCTTCAAGGCCCTTACCTCCAAGTTGAGCATGCCCAACATCCATGCTCCACTTGCGGGGGGGTAATAGAATAATATATGTTTACATTTAAATACCTTTGTATTAGTTGTGTTATTCCTATAATAAAAATGTTACTCCCTCTTTAGCACCTTTAGTTATTTAGCATTAGTATAAATACTCATACCCTTGTAAACCCTAGTTCAATTTTTCCACACATTTTATTTTCTCCGCCTTCTTTCTTCTCTGTACAAGACTCATATTCCTCTCTTTCTCTTAATGCAATATTTCAATCTTTCTTCTCTATGTGCTCGATTGTTACTTGATAACTCGTTTAACACCTATAACGAGCTGAGTTCAAGCCAATCTTGTGCTTTAACGAGCCGAACTACACAAAATTATATAAAAATTCTCCTTCGAACCTCATCGAGTCGAGTTCGCCAAAAAAGCTTTAAATGAACTAAAGTTCGACTAGTTTAACAAACGAGCAGAGTCGAACTCAAGGCGACCCAGACTTTTTTAATTTAACAGCACTATTGGTGGCTATTGGATGTGTGTCTTTTCTTCCCAAGCCTTTTGTGACTCCCCTTTAGTTCTCTGGGGGCTCACGACAATTAGATCCTCACGCAAATAAATTGAGATAATTATCCCTTAGATAGTTCCATTTGATTTTATTTTCCATAAAACGAGTAATTATTTTTTATTTTCCTAATTATATTTTCGTACATTTTTATTCCATATCAATTCAACAAAATACGTCCTGTCACCAATTAATCAACTAAATGTGAAATTTGTGATAAGAAATCCACATGGTCCAAAGATAACAATTTGTGATTTTATTTGTAGTTTAATTTTATGGAGAAATTTTGTATAAAAAATTATGAGTGTATTTGTATTTTAGTTTTGTTACGAATGTTTGTATATCTGTTTTTAATATTGCCATTTCTATTGATTATATGAATGTTATTTTTTTATTTATTTCGTGGTTTTGTTGTCTTTTGATGGGTTTTTATATATGTTTTTTTTTCATAGTTATAGGTATATGAATGGTTTTTATTTTGTTTATTTGTGGTTCCATAATTTGTTTGTTCCTTTAATTTGTGGTATCGTGAAGGATTGCATCTGCAATTTTTGTTTTCAGATGGATAGTCGTTTTTTGGTATTAGAAATTTAAGATATGGAACAATTCTGTGATAAAAGATTGTGTTTCGTCCAAATGGAATTGCTTTATGCGTGCTTAAGCCCAAATAATTCACCTCTACCAGGCCCAGACCAATTACATCATCTCTTATTAAAGAATTGTTGCCTACGTTTCTTTTGTCTACCCTTTTGAGCCAAATTGGCCCAACAACCACTACAATGAAGGCAGGCTTAAAATTGATATCAATGGGCTTCTTTTAATATCCATCATTGAGTCCAAATTTTTATGTATTGGGGCGCCTCAATTATTACCCACGTGAACTCTCGGCTTCACGTCCACAAACATACTCCAAAATACTAAAAAATAATGTATTGAAAATCAAAACAAATAAATTCATCAAAATAATAAATAAATCGAAAAATATAGACGTGCAGATAAATTAAATATATAAAATTACATTGTTTAATATATTAAGCGTGTACAATTTTGGACCTATCATTGGCGTACCGATGATGTAAATTTTCCATCCACATCCTCACCTTTAATGGGCTATATATGTGAAAATAATCAAATATACACATTAGTGTGTCGTGATTTTTCAGTCATACATTCAGGCTTCGTTTACTAGAGATGATGAGATTAGGCAAATTAATCACTCTATTTGCCACATCAGATTTTGGATACAATTGTCACATGTTTACTAAAGGGATAAATGTCTATGATAAATAATAAAATTACAGAATTAACTAATTAAATTAATATTTTTATAAATTAAATAATATTATTTTAAATTAGGTAAAAATATTTTTTAAATTAAATAAAATTAATTAATTTAATATTTTATAGATTAAATAATATTATTTTAAATCAAATAAAGTTATGTTAGATTAAATAATAATATTTTAGATTAAATAAAATTATTTTAAGTTTTATAAATGTATTTAAATTAATATTTTATAAAGTAAATAATATTATTTTAAATTACATTACTTTATATTAACCAATATTTTTAGAATTAAATAAAATTATTTAAATTAATATTTTATAGATTAAATAATATTATCTTAAAATAAATAAAAGTATTTTAGATTAAATAAAATTATTTTAAATTAAATAAAAGTATTTAAATTAATATTTTATAAATTAAATAATATTATTTTAAATATTATTTTAAATTAAACAATATTTTTTTAAATTAAAATAATTTATTTAAATTATTATTTTATAGATTAAATAATATTATTTTAAATTTAATAAAAATATTTTAGATTAAATATGAGTCATTTAACACCAAGGATAATTTTATTACACCATAATGGCCGGATTTTTTTATCCCGCCAACAAGGATACATATCCCGCCAACTCATGCCATGTCATATGTATCCTTATCCCAATCCTATTTAGTAAACGATGGATAAAGTTGATTAACCAACCTTATTTCATCCTATCAAGACTAGTAAACGAGGCCTCACTGTGTATGTTATGTGAATCTTACGCAACATCAAATTATGGATATAATAATTTGCACTGATATTTTAACCACTCTTATTTTGCTAATTAAATTTAATAAAAAAGAGACTCAATCACAATTGATACAATTCATTTGACCATTGGTAAATTACGAGCAATAATATTTCTCCAAAGGGAGAAGAAGAAAAAAGAAAAAAAGTGAAAAAAAATAATAAGTACTATTTTTATTGTCATTCTTATTTCTATCACTAAAATAAAATTAAATTAAGAACTCGAAAATAATTGTTTTAATTTCCACAAAACCAGCTAAAACTTTTTTTTTGGTACAATGACCTTCCGGTTTCTGGATCCACAGAGAACCAACTAATCCAGAATCGAATCGGGTAGGATCACAAGGGCGACAAATCTCTCCCTCAAGAGTTTTAACACTGCAAAACCAGCTAAAACTTTCACTCTGAAAATCACAATCCTCCTCCACCCCCGCCGCCGCCAACCCCGGCGATATCATCCATCAGCCGCTCGATCTCACGGCGGACATCGTCGCTCGGCAGCCGTCTCCGGCAGCAGGGACACGTGTCCCTCCTCCCCAGCCATCTCAGCACGCAAATCCAGTGGAACAAATGCCCGCACGGCAGTTCGCACACCTCCCTCCCAGCCCCCATCTCCTCCCTGCAGATCGCGCACTCGCCGCCGCCTTCCGCCGCCACAGACGGCAGGGCCACCACCGCCTCCGGCGACGCCGCCGCCGTCCCTCCCCCTCCCTTACCCCCCACGCCGACCAAACTCCAGCACCTCCGCGCCGATTCCACGAACCTAATTAGGGCTTCGCTGTCGGAGCACCCGCCGGCGAGGCTCGACGGCCGGAGGATCCAATCGGAGGCGTAATCGCGGAGGGTCGGCCGCCAATTTTGCGGCGGCGAGTCGAGGAGCCTCCGGTCGTGGCGGTGGAGCTCGCAGAGGAGGAGGAGAAGAAGGGTGGCGTCGAGGTCGCGGAGCGACGCGGCGGAGGAGGACGACTGCGTGGCGGCGGCGGCGGGGGGAGAGGGGAGATGGGATCGGAGGAGGTCGAGGTCGGAGAGGAGGTGGTGGGCGACGAGTAGGGACTTGCGGCGGAGGGAGAGGGTGTGGAGGTGGCGGAGGGAGAGGGAGAAGAGGGAGGGGGAGGAGAGGACGGCGGCGAGGCGGAGGAGGCGGCGGCGGTGGGCGGCAGAGATGGAGAGGGCGAGGCGGTGGATGTCTGCGGCGGGAAGCGACGATAAGGCGGTCATGAGTGTGGTCTCGATGGAGTTAGCCATGGTGGGACCATGTGGTGGTGCGTGGTGGTGGTTTAGAGAGAGAATTGGATATTTGTATTTTTTTTTAGAGAGAGGATTTGGAGATTTCGTTTTGAGACAATGTTCGTGTATATATATAACTAGGAATTTTTTGGTGGTGCGATGTACAATCGGCTCATAATACCAAAGTTTTTACGTTTAAAGTTGATACTATCACAATTTAAACAAATCGATCCAAAAATACATAAAAAGACCATCGAAAAAGAACTTATGCTCACAGAGACACATAAATACATTGATAAATTAAATTATTTATGCGGCAAAAAACCTGAACACACGCAAAACTGTTAAAACACAACTTTTTGTTTTCAAAATCGAAGATAATTGATCAAACATTATTTATCTGATGACCAATTTGTCGTAAAATCAGTCAAGCCTTTTAGTTTAAAAACTATTTGTTTTGCTTGTGTAATTAGTTTCACCACAGTGGACCACCAATTATCTAAATTTTCAACATATATGGACTCACGACCTATTTTGTAATGATTTTTTTTTTAGATATCTGCTCAATTGTGTTAAAGTTTTAGAATAACATGTCATCATCGAGAAACAATGACTTACAAAAATTTTCTCTCAAAATCGATACATTAAGATGTTTTACCAAAAAAAATTTCAGCATTTTTTAGTGGTGGGTTCCACGCCGGCAAATATGGTCTAAAAAAACATTTGCCCAAGACATATTAACTTTTTTCAATTCAAATGGGTATGCTCGTTTTTTGGTGACAATTTTTGTATCCAATCACACCCTAAAATTTCGCATAATCATAAGGCAGAAAATAAAAAATCTAAGAGCAACTCTACTCTGCTATGCAACTCATTTCGAATTTGTGCCATAAATATGCTCTAACTTATGTTACATTTTCGTATGATAATGTAAATAATATTGAGCTAATATAGTACTGAATTGTTCACTGCACCTCTACTTTTTCTCAAATTTTATTTTCTTTCAATTTTATTTTTTATTTTTATTTATTTTTTTGGCAAAATATATACACTAATAACGATATTTATTTTGTTGAATAAGTTAAAATTTTGAACTCATAGTATTGATTAAATTTTATTATATATAACTATATTTTATGTAAGAGTCCTTCCAATTTTATAGATATTTCCCATATTTGTGTGGGCCACACGTATTATCATGCAATATTTTATGAGGGTTTACAAATTTACAACAAATGCATAGAGATGGACTATATAGTTATAGGATAAAGCTACGGTGTCCACGTGTAAGAAATATGCTCTATCTAACCTCCTTTTATTAAGATGTAGAGGTGACCAAAAAACATTTGCCCAAGACAGATCAACTTTTTCCAATTCAAATGGGTATGCTCGGAGCAACTCTACTCTGTTATGCAACTCATTTCGAATTTGTGCCATAAATATGCTCTTACTTATGTTACATTTTCGTATGATAATGTAAATAATATTAAGCTAATATAGTACTGCATTGTTCACTGCACCTCTGCTTTTTCTCAAATTTTATTTTCTTTCAATTTTATTTTTTATTTTTATTTATTATTTTGACAAAATATATACACTAATAACGATATTTATTTTGTTAAATAAGTTAAAATTTTGAATTCATAGTATTGATTAAATTTTATTATATAACTATATTTTATGTAAGAGTCCTTCCAATTTTATAGATATTTCTCATATTTGTGTGGGCCACACGTATTATCATGCAATATTTTATGAGGGTTTACAAATTTACAACAAATGCATAGGGATAGACTATAGTTATAGGAGAAAGCTAAGGTGTCCACGTGTAAGAAATATACTCTATCTAACCTCCTTTTATTAAGATGTAGAGGTGACAAAAAAACATTTGCCCAAGACAGATCAACTTTTTCCAATTCAAATGGGTATGCTCGTTTTTTGTGACAATTTTGTATCCAATCACACCCTCGCATAATCATAAGGCAGAAAATAAAATATCTAAGAGCAACTCTACTCTGCTATGCAACTCATTTCGAATTTGTGCCATAAATATGCTATAACTTATGTTACATTTTCGTATGATAATGTAAATAATATTAAGCTAATATAGTACTGAATTGTTCACTGCACCTCTACTTTTTCTCAAATTTTATTTTCTTTCAATTTTATTTTTTTATTTTTATTTATTATTTTGACAAAATATATACACTAATAACGATATTTATTTTGTTAAATAAGTTAAAATATTGAATTTATAGTATTAATTAAATTTTATTATATAACTATATTTTATGTAAGAGCCCTTCCAATTTTATAGATATTTCTCATATTTGTGTGGGCCACACGTATTATCATGCAATATTTTATGAGGGTTTACAAATTTACAACAAATGCATAGGGATAGGCTATAGTTATAGGAGAAAGCTAAGGTGTCCACGTGTAAGAAATATACTCTATCTAACCTCCTTTTATTAAGATGTAGAGTTGACCAAAAACCATTTGCCAAAGACAGATCAACTTTTTCCAATTCAAATGCGTATGCTCGTTTTTTGTGACAATTTTTGTATCCAATCACACCCTAAAATTTCGCATAATCATCAGGCATAAAATGAAAAATCTAAGAGCAACTCTACTCTGCTATGCAACTCATTTCGAATTTGTGTCATAAATATGCTATAACTTATGTTACATTTTCGTATGATAATGTAAATAATATTGAGCTAATATAGTACAGAACTGTTCACCGCACCTCTACTTTTTCTCAAATTTTATTTTCTTTCAATTTTATTTTTTTTATTTTTATTTATTATTTTGACAAAATATATACATTAATAACTATATTAATTTTGTTAAATAAGTTAAAATTTTGAACTTATAGTATTGATTAAATTTTATTATATAACTATATTTTATGTAAGAGTTCTTCCAATTTTATAGATATTTTCCATATTTGTGTGGGCCATACGTATTATCATGCAATATTTTATGAGGGTTTACAAATTTACAACAAATGCATAGGCATGGATTATATAGTTATAGGAGAAAGTTAAGGTGCCCACGTGTAAGAAATATACTCTATCTAACCTCCTTTTATTAAGATGTAGATGTGACAAAAAATATTAGCCCAAGACAAATCAACTTTTTTCCAATTCAAATGGGTATGCTCGCTTTTTGTGACAATTTTTGTATCCAATCATACCCTAAAATTTCGCATAATCATTAGGCAGAAAATAAAAAATCTAAGAGCAACTCTACTCTATTATGCAACTCATTTCGAATTTGTGCCATAAATATGCTCTAACTTATGTTACATTTTCGTATGATAATGTAAATAATATTGAACTAATATAGTACTGAACTGTTCACTGCACCTCTACTTTTTCTCAAATTTTATTTTCTTTCAATTTTATTTTTTATTTTTATTTATTATGTTGACAAAATATATACACTAATAACTATATTTATTTTGTTAAATTAAGTTAAAATTTTGCATTTTATAGTATTGATTAAATTTTATTATATAACTATATTTTATGTAAGTGTCCTTTATAGATATTTCCCATATTTGTGTGGGCCACACGTATTATCATGCAATATTTTATGAGAGTTTACAAATTTACAACAAATGCATAGGGATGAACTATATAGTTATAGAAGAAAGCTAAGGTATCCACGTGTAAAAAATATATCCTATCTAACCTCCTTTTATTAAGATGTAGAGGGATAACGTGCATTTAGTGATTTACGGGAATATATGTAATGGAGATTTATGTCATACTAATCAAATCATTGGATTAGTTGGTATTAGAGGTGTTAAAAATTGGAGCAACTCAAAAATTCGACTCTTTAGTTAAGCTTAGTAAATTAGATTTCTTGCATAAGTTTTTAAATTTTTATTATATGTCAGTCACCTTGACCCAGTTCGTTAACATTGTAAGTTATTAGTTCTTACATAATTTTCTTAATGTTATAAAATCGAGAAAGACAAATAATACAATATCAAATCATTGGATTAGTTGGTATTAGACGTGTTAAAAATTGGAGCAACTCAAAAATTCGACTCTTTAGTTAAGCTTAATAAATTAGATTTCTTGCATAAGTTTTAAAATTTTTATTATATGTCAATCACCTTGACTCAGTTCGTTAACATTGTAAGTTATTAGTTCTTACATAATTTTCTTAATGTTATAAAATCGAGAAAGACAAATAATACAATATGGAAATCAAATATGAATTATAATGAATTTATTTCTTCTTTTTCTGTATGTACATTCTTTCACTTCATTTGGATTGCCTTTTATAAGCAAACTCTACCGACATTACAATGAATTTTGTATACAAAGTCGTTATATCTCAATTCCCTTACTATTCACATTTTCTAGAGTGATAGAATCACTGTTTATGAATAATGGTACATTCCACTTGTTCATAACACTTAACTTTTATTATGGATCAACTCAAATATAAGCCAAATTCTAGTTGTGAATCGACTATATTTATTAGGTATTGTCAGCCACACAACAAGTAATAAAGTTATACGTATCTTTACCATATGTTCACAATATCCCCCTATCCCCCTATATATTAATTCAAAACATGTTGAGCCTAAGGATCGCACGCTTTGGAATTTCACATGTCACAATATCTTGCTTTGTATTTAAATTGAGATAAAAAATTTGGAAACAAAATTGGCTTGGAAAGCGTCATAAATAATTTTTCCACCATTCAATATTGTCTCTCATCAATCTCTCTTTAATTACCAAATTTGACTAGAATTTAAAGATCACACAAATCTTTATTCCGTTATTTCATTTTACTAAGGATTTGTCATAATTTTTTACTTTTATTTTTCAAGTTTGATAAATTTTAGCGTAATTTTTAAGTTTGTGTCTTTGTTTCATGATGAATAATGATGAACTAAAATTTTATTTTATGATTATATTGATAATAAAATTAATGAAATCTTACTTTAACATGTCCCTTATCTTAATTATCATCAATTTTAGCTCTTATCTTAATTATAATCCCTTATCTTATTTTTTTCAAGTTGATAAATTTTAGCCCATCTATCAATTTCTTTCCAATTTGATAAATTTTAAGTACAACTAATAATGTTGTGTACAAAGAAATTTTCAAAAATTAGAAATATAATACCAATGTATAATAGTTTTTGTTTAATGAAACCTCCATTTATTTATTTTGTATATACTTAAAATAACTATACTCTTTTACTTTTTCTGTTCAATTTATTTTTTTCATGCACTCGTGTAGTACACATATGTCATACTAGTATCACTCATATTTATAATCAACCATCCAATATAAGATAAATGTGATTTAAGTTTCTATCTAGCATTTTAATTTCAAGAGCCAAATTGAGATGAAATATATTCATATTTGCTTTTAAGAATTTGGTTTTCCATTTTTGTCCCAACTTGTAACTCATTTTATTGTAATCTTTCATATGTTACACATTATAAATACAACACTAATTGTTTATCAATCCACTTCAAAAAAAAAACCAATCAAAACTCAAATTTAACTCAACTCACTATCTCCAATATTATAAATATAATTAAATAATATCAACCAGTCATCCAACCAATCATTCTTATACATCACATCGACTTTAATTCATTATTCATCTACTCACATAATTTTAACTAACTATCAGATCCAATCATTTTCTCTAACTTTTACATCATATCAATTTTAATTATTTTATTGTAATTATTATTTTAATATATCTATTAACAACTAACCATATCAACTTTTTTCAAAAGTAACTATGGTTAAAAAAAATTAGTTAAAAACTAGATGAATTCATAAACAATCACCCCCTAATTTTTCATTTATTGGGGTCAACTTCTCTTCGTGCACTTGAAATTGAGAAGTTTGACTTTTGAAAAAAAAAAAAAAAAAAGGTAAAGAAGAATGTGAAAATCTATTTAGCCAAAAAAAAAAAAAATGTGATTGCAATTTACAATGCGAGTAAAGATGTGAATGAATGTTTCCTAGACAAATTGAGCTTAATTTACTTTGAAGCAAACACCAGATCCAAAGCAGTAGTTAATATAAAAATAGGAAAAAAGTTAAAAAGCAAAAGAAAGATGGACTGATTTATCAACTCAACATGAGTCCAACTTCCATTAATTAATGAAGAAAAGGTAAAATGTTTTGCTACATTACATCATCCAGCCATTACTTATCGATCTGATCTAACCGTTAGATCGACATACATTTCTCAAAATATATATACTTTCGTTAGAAAATGTCATATATTAAAAAAGTAAAATAAACAAAAGAATAAGTATTAGTATACATTTTTCTTCACATAGTATGACGGTAACCATTAGACTGTTTCACATAAGAATTTGTTGATATATTCTACTAGCCGTCCTGTATTTTTGTGCTTCGACTCACTTTGTGGAACAGACAAACATATCTGTCAGTCCAAGTTCAGACTTTTCTTTTGGTTGTTGTCTTTTTCTTTTTCTCGTTTTTGCTTTCGGTGCCCATTTAAGGTCTTGACTATATACAGGTTGGAGATCCTGCTTTAATCCCTTCTTTGGTTGTTTTTCTCTTTTTTTTTTTTTTTCTAAAGAATTTGTTAAAAAGTTTACCTTTGAGAGAGTAAATCATGAAAGTATCTTTATTTTCAAATATGCATATTTTCAAACGTAAATGTCATATGCCAAAAAAAATGACATTTCATAACATAAGTATGCATTTTTTGTTAAAAAGATATGATAAATCGACTCGTCTAACGGTGAGACCGCCTTACAAAATAACTTGTGCATGAGACTTTTAATAATTACACCAGCTAAGCATTTTTTTTTTTTCCAAACAAATTAGACAAAAAGTAAGTAGTAGCTGCATTATTGAGCATGGCATGTATGGTTTAAAATGGTGTGAAACAATGGAATTTGAGGAGGTGGAGTAAAATGGAAGTGCTTGGAAATATGTTGGGCCCTTGTCCTCAACTTCATGTCCAGTTGAGCAAACGTAGACATTTTCTTTACTTCCCATTCTCTATGTTCACTGAGAAACAGAAAGAACAAATAACAAGGGTATAAAAAACAAGCTGCCCCATATATCTACTCCAATGTATCCTTTGACCCTACCAAAAAAAAAAAGAACAATAATATGTGTGTGCATGTGATCTGACGGCTCAGACCCTAGTGTGGGCACTGTTTAGCTATGAAACCAAGTTCCGGAAGAAGACTATGAAGGCCCAAAAACCAGTTCCGCTAGGCACATGTATACGTAAAATCCTACGAGCCCACAACCATACATGGTCGGGTCTATGCATGTACATGTATGTGTACATGGATGGATCTACGCGCTTAGGAGGTGATTCAATATATGTTATTTTGGATTTAATTTGATTTGTCGGTTAACCAGAGTTAATTTTAAAATTTTTGATTGAGTAAAGTTTGAGTGGAATTTTGAATTTGTATTAAAATAATATTAAAAATATAATGAGTTGATCTGATTTAAAAGCAGGCGATAGATGATGTGATTGAGAGTGATGGTTAGTTAAAATTATGTGATTGAATGAATAGTGAATTAAAATTGATGTGATGTATATTATATTGTTAATATTGAGGAGAGTTCGATTTTGTTAGATTTTGAGTTAAGAAAATTATCTGATCAAAATGGTCAAAAGTAAGTAAATAATTTTTACTCATTCGCCCTCGTAAGCTTTCATAAACGACTAAACGAAAGAAGTTAAGTAGTTAACGTCGAAGACTAAGAAAGGATATTGACAAGATGGGCCGAGATGGATTCAACTTTCAAGTGAGGGATTTTTGTAGGGGCCCTTGGGAAATCATGAACGAAGGCAAAAGGAAAAAGATATGAGGTTTTTGTGCCTTTCCTCATGTACTATATGCATGTGCAGTGACTGATATTTTTCTGATTGCTATTAGAATCCAAGGTGAAGATGGTGCTCATCTTTATTGTCCATTATTTATTTTTTTTTTGTAATATTTTATAGGGAAAACTAGAAGCTACAACAAAATGAAGCAATGTCATTTGTGGTACCATACTCTACCATATTGAAAGTGAGATTAAAGAACAAATGCTAAGTTCAAGTAGATAGGTGATATAGCCATACTTGAATAGACCGGTTATAGCGGCTCGACCCGGCGTGAAGACGATTTATTTAAGCCAAGTCGAGTCGAGGAAGAGATTCATAATAGGATCCCGTCTCGAGACGCAACAATAGTTAAGGATGAATAGATCAACAACGGCCATCAACATGGGGAACTCCTTGAAGTCGACCTCAAATCCCTTGCGGCTCGAGGTTGATTCGACAGCGACATCTATAAGTCGACCCTCTACGTCGACTTAACAGAGGAAGTCGACACATGTAAGTTGACTCTCTTAACTGTGTATCTCGAGGTCGACTTAATTCATTAAGAAGAGAACGATTCAAGGGCGAGAGGGTTGAGCCTCCTGATGTATTTAGTCCACATGTCGACTCTTCATATCCCAAAGATCGGGGTGTACAATGATAAGATGCTCCAGATATTCAACATGCTTAACGGATAAGGATGAATCTTTATAAAAATAAAATAAAATCTTAAGCTGACTCAGCATAATTAGGACACAAGTAAACCGGGTGAACAGGCCAGTCGACCAGGGTATTCTGGGCACTTATACCCTTGGGCACTTCAAGTAGGTATTTTCCTGTATAAAAGGGGATGAGGTAACACAAACCCTAACTTTTACACATTCTACACATTTTTTATATGTTGCTGCTGCTCTGCAACTCATTTTCTTCCTCCCTGTTACTGACTTAATCATCGGAGGCTCTACGCCGGAAATCTCTCTACGGTGAGTTCTTGAAGGCGATTCAGACAGATTGGAGCTCACTTCAACCGGTTCACCTCAGATCTAGGATGAGACCCATCAATAGGAAAATAGGAAAGGAAAAATATGGTTCATTTTCCATCATTTGCAATTGGAGGAAAGAAAGAATGAAACTTGATTTTCAGATTCCACTTGACAAATTGCAAATATAGTGCACATCAAAATTGTATTGTTTCTTCACATATTTACAAGAAGATGTTATAAAGAAACCTATGGTACGATTCATAAAATTGCCTCAGAGGCTAAATTTTCCCAGGATTATTGCACTGTTGGGCGAAAAATGTGAAAAAAAAGTCATAGCGTATTAAAGAAACGAGGCAATATACCTGTCGGGGCATGTCAGATAATCACAGGCTGAGTCGACTCGTATCAGTCGCGAACTCTTGAGTTCATCATCACGAATAAATCGTGCCATTGTTGTCTCTAATTCGCTTGACGTTTATCACATAACAAAGCAAGACGCCCCATTCATGCTCGGTCTCATGTTCTCATCATAGCAACTCAAACACAAAGCTCACTAACCGGTAACCACTTCTATTTAGTATTTCATTTCAAAAAACACCTTTTTTTTCAAAATCTTTTTTCTGTCAAATTAGTTGTCCCATTCTAGGAAAAATTCCCTCCAAAGCTTCTAAACTCGGCTACTGCCTGCAACTTTTCGATACCCAATGCCCATCATTCTGCCTCTAACCTTCTCTGCCTCTTCCCACCTACCGGCTCCCGAGTACAGATTAGCCAACACAACATAATTACTCGGGTTCTCAGGTTCCAGTTCGAACAAATAACCACACACAAACTCGGCAAGCTCCAAGTTACCAAACTCCTTAGCTCCACCAAGAAGCGCGCCCCAAACCTGTGCACTGGGCTCAATAGGCATTTTCTTCACAAACTCCACAGCCTCACGAAGGCTTCCCGCCCGGCAAAAGCAATCGACCATGCAAGCATAGTGGTTAACTAAAGGCTGAATTTCGTATTTTGGCAAAATGTAAAATATTTCTTGGGCTTCTTGAACCAGCCCAGCATGAGCACAGGCAGACAAGACAGTAGTGAACGTGACGGGGTCCGGTTTTGTTCCATTTCGAAGCATTTCATGAAAAGAACCAAGTACATTGCAAGAATTCCCATTGTACGCGTAGGCCGATATTATAGCTGTCCAGACAATCACGCTCCTGTCTCTAGCTAGATCGAACACTCTCTGGGCACCGTCAAGAAATCCGAGCTTGCCGTACATATCTATAATAGCAGTAGTCACATATATATTTTTATCGGAATTTAGTTTAATAGCATAGGCGTGGATTTCTTTCCCGGCCCGCAAATTCGAGACGTGTGGGATGGCTGGGAGAACGCTCGAGAGGGTCACGCTGTTTGGCCTGAGGCCTGAATTCTGCATACGGCGGACCAAATCCAAGACGTTTTCATACCGGCTGTTCTGAATTTTGCCTGAAATTAAAGCATTCCAAGTGCTCAAGCCCGGGCTACTCATGTCCTCAAATAACTGCATAGCTTCATCCACAAGCCCGTGGGCCATGTACCCAGTCACAATCGTGGCAAAGGTTATCTCATCTTTCTCTCCCATCTCCTCGTAGAGTTCCCGAGCGTAGTCCAAGCTGCCACATTTCGAGTAAACTGAAATAATCGAGTTGCAAAGTGTGAGATCCATCTTGATTTTGTTATCAGTCAAGTACTTGTGAATGTCCATCCCTAGTAAAAGATCGGCCGAGTTAGCACATGCCTGCAAAGCGCTCACGGCTGTGACATTGTCGGGCTTTGGACCACCTGACCTCAAAATGGTTCTGTACAGATCCTTGCACTCCTCATAAAACCCAGCCTGGGAATACCCTGAAATCATCGAATTCCACGACACCAAGTCCCTCTGGGGCATTTCGTCGAACACGGCCCTTGCAGACACGAAATCAGCACACCTCGAGTAATAAGTCAGCAACCCATTATTCACAAAAACATCCCAATCAAGCCCGTATTTGACCACGCAGCAGTGAATCATCCGGGCTAAGATAGGCCCGCCGGCGGCCACCTCTGCCGCCGCCTTCAGCACGCAGCTGAAGGTGTAGCCGTCGGGGCGGACACTTTCCAGATCCCGAGAATCTCGGGAGACGAACGCTGTGAAGAGCTCCAGCGCCTCCGCGTGGCGGTGGTTCACGGTGTGGGCGATGAGGATGGCGTTGCAGGTGAAGATGTTCTTGTGGGGGATTTGGTCGAACACGTGGCGGGCGTCCCGGAGGTTGTGGGTGCGGGAGTAGAAGGCCATGAGCTTGGAGGCGAGGTAGTTGTCGCCGGCGGCGGAGGTGAGGATGAGGTGGGCGTGGAGCTGCTTGGCCTGGCGGTGGAGGCGGCGGTCGGTGCACCGCTGGATGAGGTGGCCGTAGTCGATGGGGCGGCGGCGGGCCATGGAGGACTTGGCGGGTTAAAGGGCGCCGGTGGGTGTTTTCATTTCAAAATGACTATCTGCGGACTGTGATGCCGAAAATTGAGCTATGTCCCTAACGTTTTGTATAATTGTGATTTCGCGCCTTGTAGTTTTCTGAAATTATACTTTGTACGACTAAATATTGTTGGTGGGCTATGTTATTTTAGTTCTGGGCCGATTATGGCTTGTAGATGAAACAAAGGGAACTAAGCGGTCCACGAGTTATGGCAAAATTGGAAAAAAATCAATTATTATTGTGAAAAATCATGATAAACTTGAACATAATAAGAAAAAAAGGAGTTTTTTCAATACAAGACTTGAAATATAGGAAACTATCAATTCGGGGTCTGAAAGATTTTTTTTTTCTCAATTCGGGACCTGAATGTTATAAAACTATCAAATTAAGTCCTACAATTAACAACACTCATAAGACCATTAAATTGAGAGTTAATTTTAAGTTTTAAAACACTAAGTTTAAAGAAAAATAAAAGATTGTTGCTTACTCACATAAAATAATAAGTAAACATTTTCATAATATTAAAAAACAAACATATTTGGTGTTTTAAAACTTAAAATTAACTCTCAATTTAATGGTTTTATGAGTGTTGTTAATTGTAGGACTTAATTTGATAGTTTCATAACATTCAGGTCCTGAATTGAGAAAAAAAAATCTTTCAGACCCCGAATTGATAGTTTACCTATCTTTCGGGCCTTGTATTGAAAAAACTCCAAAAAAATAAAGATCAATGTTTTCCATTTCACAACTGAACACTATACATAAGATGATAAAATGGATTTTTGCGTACAAAGCACTGAACATCCTTAAGGTATTTATACAAAAGCTATGCGCTAAATAAAGAAGAAAATTTATTACTAAGTAGTGGGGATCATGGAAAAGATATGGCATAACTGGCATTGCATATAACTGCATGGATCAAGATTCATGTGTCATTTCTGTCATGCATGTATTTTAACACTCCCCCGCAATTCGAGCTCAGTTGAATAACAATATGTAATTGGTTTCTCAACTGAGTAAAGGATTGCTCATTTAAGGGCTTTGTCAAAATATCTGCTGCTTGAAACGACTAGGAACATGTCTCACTTCTAGAACTCCTTCTGCAACTTTTTCTCGAACAAAGTGATAATCGAGCTCCACATGCTTAGTTCTTCCATACATTACTGGATTAGATTCCATAGCAATTGCACTGAGATTGTCTATCCCTTCTTGTGCTAGAAACTGAAGTTCTTTAAATAAGCTTTTCAACGATACAACTTCAGAAGTAGCTTGAGCTAGGCTTTTGTATTCAACTTCCGCACTAGACCTTGAGACAAAACTTTGGTTTCTAGAACTCCAAGATATCAGATTCCCTCCAATGTAAACACAAAATCCACTTGTAGATCTTCTATCATCTAAATCAGCTGCCCAATCAGAATCACAAAATCCTACTATGTTCAGATTATCAGATTTTTTTAATCTGTAATCCAATGGTGATATTGTCTGCTACATATTTGAGGATATTCTTGATTGCTTTACAATGTTTATTATTAGGATGTGACATGTATTGACTAACCTTATTGACTGCAAAAGCAATCTCAGATCGAGTGATCGTGAGATATTGCAAACCACCAACAATCCTTCTATACATTGTAGCATCAACACTCTCTTCTGATTGGTTTTTTCTTGAGGAAGCAACTTGTGGACATTGGAGTCTTACCTCCTTTGGCATTATACATGGAAGCTTTAGAAAGTAGATCTTGAGCATACCTTTCTTGGGATAGAAAAATACCCTTCTCTGATCTGAACACTTTCATACCCAGAAATTGATGAATGTCACCAAGATCCTTCAAGGAAAATTTTCCACTAAGTTGAGGGATCACATGTTCAACTTCTGAACTACTGCTTCCTGTTATGAAAATATCATCAACATAAATTAAGATGATGACAACTAAATATGATGTTTTTTCTTAAAAACAGGGAATTATCTGACTGAGAACAACAAAAGTTCATGTCTTTTAGAGTGTTCTTCACTTTAAGAAACCAAGCTCTGGCAGCTTGTTTCAGGCCATAGATTGCCTTCTTTAGCTTACACACTTTCCTTTCTTGATTTTTGAGATAAAAACCTGGTGGCTGCATCATATAAATCTCCTCTGATAGGTCTCCATTTAGGAATGTATTATTGATGTCTAACTGTCTCACAGGCCAATCAAAATGAACAGCAATTGTAAGAACAACTCTAATTGTAGAATGTTTTACCACAGGGCTGAATGTCTTTTTACAATCAAATCCTGCAGCTTGAGAGTACCCTTGCGCTACAAGTCTTGCCTTGTACCTAGCAATTGAACCATCAGCATTCTTTTTCAACTTGTAAACCCATCTACATCCCACAATATTTTTGTTGACTGGTGGATCTGTGAGATTCCAAGTATCATTATTAACTAATGTCTGCAATTCAGTTGTCATAGCATCTCTCCAATGTGTTGATTGCAATGCTTCATCAAGATTAACTGGCTCTCTTTCTTCAACACTGACCATTAGAGCTCTAGTCTTATAAATTCCATCCTTTGCTCTTGTAATCATGTGATGTTGTTTGGTAATTCTTTGAGATCTTGATCCAGAGGATGTATGTTCTGGAGAATTATTCAACTCAATAGGTGCGTCAACAACTAAAGGGATGGTATCATATGAATGTTGAGTGTTTATGGATCTTGAACTTGGTGTTAAAGTGTTTGGAGATGGTTGATTTGTTGAAGTCTGTTTTTCTTGAGTGGGTGTTCGAGTGTTGTTTTGATTATGAGGAGTGAGCTGATTTGAAATTATAGGAGGTTGATGAATGCAAGGTAGCTGAAAATCATCAGGCTTGTATTGCTTTATAGTTTCAACTTTAGCATGAGGGTACACTATTTCATCAAAAAGAACATGTTTGTAAACAAGGATTTTTCTAGAAGGCAACATGACTTTGTATCCCTTATGAGCATTACAAAAACCTATGTAGGTTCCACCAATGGATCTAGGTTCATGTTCATGTTTATGTTTATTAAATGGTCTCAACAAAGGATAAGCCAAACATCCAAAAGTTTTAAATCTGCTATAGTCTGGTTGATGGTTATAGAGGACTTTCAAGGGGCTCTTGAACTTCAAGGACTTTGTAGGTAGCTTGTTTATGATGTAACATGAGGTAGAGAAAGCATCATCCCATAATCTTAAAGGTAAAAAGGCTTGAGACAAAAGGGATAAACCCATTTCAGTCAAATGTCTATGCTTTCTTTCTGCAGTTCCATTTTGCTGAGGTGTGTGGGGACAATAAACTCTATGAATGATTCCATTGTTTTGTAAAAAGGGTGTAAGAGCTCTATATTCTCCCCCCAATCACTCTGAAGCATTTTAATCTTGTGACCAAGTTGAGTTTCAACCATAGTTTTGAAATGAATGAAAACCTCATGAACCTCATATTTGAGTTTTAAGAAATAGACCCAAGTGAATTTGGTAAATTGATCTATAAAAACAACAAAATAAGAATGACCATTTCTAGACTTTATAGGAGAGGGTCGCCATATGTCTGAATGAATCAACTCCAAAGGTGCATTGTACTGAGTTTTAGAATCAGAAAAAGGTAATCTAGGGATTTTTTAATCATCACAAACAGAACACAAGCCATTCATTTCATTGTTCTCAAAAGACTGATTACAAAATCTTAGAACTTTCTTGACTATATCAAGATTACAATGACCAAGTCTTTTGTGCCACAATTCTAGAATAGACTGATTCTTAAAGCTAGTACAGTGAACTGAAGGAAAAGACTGAAGAGTGTTGTTGGTTGTTGAAGGTTTTCTTGTTGAAGGTAGAATAGATGAATTGGAGAGTTGAAACTGGTAAAGTCCTTGATTATGTACCCCTTGGAGTAGAACCTCATGTGTTACTTGGTCCTTTACAAAACAATGAGAGGGGTGAAATTCAAAATAGACATTGTTATCCAAAGCAAACTTTGATACACTTAGCAGGTTTTTGGTCACACTAGGGACATGAAGCAGGTCCTTTAAAACAAAAAAATCTATTGGATTGATGGTTGTTTTGAAGATGTGATTTACCTATATGAATGATGTTTTCTCCAGAACAATTGCCCATGTGCAGTTTACTTCCTCCACTATATTCACTTGCAACACTTAAGTTGGTGAAATCATTGGTGACATAATTGGTTGCCGCACTGTATGGATACCATTGATTCTTCTCTGTTGCAACTTCAAGAGTAAAGTGTTGAGTGGTGTGCACCATATTAGCAGCTGGACTATTGAAGCCTCCTGGGACATTATCAGGTGCACTTCTCATATAGCCACTGCCATATCTATACCAGCACCTTTCAGCAGAATGACCTGAAACACCACACACTTGGCATTGAAATTTTCATGTAGGAAACCTTCCTCTTCCTCTATTTGGACCTCTTCCACCTCGGCCTCTGAAATGTTGGTTGAAAGGTGCTCTTCCATTTCTATTGTTTTGAGGTCTTGTTCTTGAACAATCTTGAGTAATGACAACATTGGCCAAAGGATAAGAGCCATCATTATTGATAAGAGAAGCAGTGAGACCAATTGCTTCCAATCTGGATTCAAAACTGAGAAGCAAGGCTTGTAGATCAATCATGGACATTGGTTCAACTCTGGAAGATACTGTTACCATGATGGGATTATATTCTTGCCCAAGACCACCAATTAAGTGCATGATTTGATCCTTTTTAGAGACTAGATGTCATGTTGCAGCTAAAGCATCAAACAAGGTTTTCATTTTGCCAATGTATTCTTTCATGGTCATAGATCCTTTCTTAAGGCCTTGAATTTCCATTTTGTATTGCATTACTCTTGCTAATGACTGACTACTGAAATTATTTTGTGTGGTTGACCATCTATCTTTGGAAGAACTCAAACCAACCATGAGTGGCAAAATAGTATTACCTAATGATGAAAGAATCCATGAGGCTAAGAGATGATCT